TACTCAAGTCCAATAGAAAGGCTTTTAGTCAAACCACAGACACAATTCTAAAAGAACTCTCCAGACATAACTGGAAAAGTATTTACCGTTCATGCTGATATTTTAATCTTATTACTAAGCTTGGTGATGATTTCTTCGCAGGTAAGATATTGATCATTTTGAATAATTCTTCCTAACATACATTGATTTGGGGGAGTTAAAATTGTTGATCGTTCAGGGCATGAAATAGGTTCAAGTTCATAATTTTTTTTTTGTGTGTAAAATACTTGTATGCTGTAGAAAGCGGAACATTATTTAATTTCACCAGAGTTGGAGCATCGTGAACACCACAGTTCCAAAGCTCACTTATGGTCTTTCGTCGATTAGCAAGAGGGACTTTTTCCATTTTAGGATAAAAAAAAAGTGGGAAAACTAAATAGTGATGGGTTTTTTGGTGGCTTGTTTTTAAGTTACATGTATAAACAACCCGTCATTAAAAACTAATTTTGTTAGGAGCATATGATCAGAAAATTTATATATAGCAGTTACGTGTCATTAAATTCTTATTATTTATGACAATCACTGTATTAGCCCATCACCATTTTAAGTATATTTCTAGTTAAAATCTTGAAACAAGAAAAAAAAAAGTAACTACTTGGAGGAAAAAGAGCTTTTCCAACTAAGAAAATAATTATGCCTAGCCAGATTTAGCTAGTCTTCCACTAAAGTGACCTTTTTTAGTTATTGTATAGCTATTTGATTTTGAAATATATCTAGAATTCTATATTGCTTTCTTGCTTAGCTGGAGTTTCTGAAAACTTGGTTTAGATAACAATTAATTTATATTTTAGGCCCACCTGAAAGGTATAATACAGAACACAGTAGAGCATATAGGCCTACCTGGAAGGTTTTGATGCAAAGCAAAGTGGAGCATTGTTATAATTATAGATTTCAAGCCTAGTTCTAGTGTTTAGAAACCAGCCTCCTCATATTGAATCACACAAGAAAAAAAAGAAAAACATAGGTAGCCTGCCTTCTCATAATCAAGTTTATTCGAAATCAGAAGAACTATTAGCATATATTTTGACACATTGATTTGTGACATTATCCTTTATTTTGTTTTGAGTGATTAATCACGAGAACGAATTTCATAATAGTGTTTTAATGTATAATAGCTACCAGCATGTAATTTACATCGACCACAATCAGCACCAGTAGACTTGCCACATACAAGACAGTGTCTACGAGGTTTTGATAAATAATGCTCCCAACGGCCTTTAGCTCTGCGACAAGGTCTGTTACATAAAGAGCTATCATTGTGAAGATATTGGCAAGTCGATAGGGTAGCATTAGTATAAAATATCTTATAATATTATGTGTATCTAACACTACACTAACTTTGCTATTAATTATTCATTAAATATAACGAATTTCAATTTAGAAAAATCATGGTTTTATAAGTAACAAATAATAAATGGCTGAACAAAATACCAATACAAATTCAATTACAGTAAAAGATATCGAAAAGGCATTACTTGAAATCTTAAATTCAGCAATTCTTCGAAAATTTAAAACTGATAGCAGCAAATTCGTTAAAGATCATCTTAGTTATGTAACTAGATTACAGTTGGCAAAAGAGCCAGAAAAGTACATTCGATATAAAGCAAGGCAACTCATGCCAGACGAGACATAATACAATAGAAGAATATAATACATTTATGGTCACTATTGAGGAGAATTATGTGAAAGACTTGAAAAATAATATAAGCTTTATTACGAGTTAGCTCAGGAGGAAAAAAATATGAAATTTCAGAGATAGATGCAAGCGACCTATATTGCATATGCGATTTCTCACATATACCACTGATCCCCATAAAAAGTTTTTTTTCCGAACCAATACGCACGCATCACAAATTTTCGTCTATAAAGCAGTATACCTATCATGTCTATTTCCACAACCGAACACGATACATATTTAGTCGAAAATTGGGATACCGAGACCCTTGTCCTTCACCTGCAAGAGCAGGGCCTAAAGCTTGACGATGAGGATTTTGCTATTATCCGCAAAGAAAAGATTGATGGTCAGGTCTTTCTCGATATGACCGAAGAAAAGTTCCGTAGTTATGGACTTGCGGGTGGACCTGCTATGAAACTCACAAAAGAAGCCAAGGCTCTCAAGACCATGCCAATACGTCCTTTCTCCTCATACAACAGTTTGAAAGAAGTTCTGGCGAAATATGGGATTGATGATAATCGAATCACAACCATACCTCAGTTCACGCCAGGTATATATTTATGACGATCTAATCGGTACAATATTTTTTTTCTGACTCATTACAAATCTTTGGTCATAACAGACATCCACAAGCTCGACGATAATGATGAAGAATTTCTCCACTGTATTAAGGAAATAAAGCATCGATTGGGAAATATGGGAACAGTGGCCGACAGTAATGAAGTTATGCGCTGTTCCTACATTGAGTCAATCTTACATGCTAGCGTTCGTATAGTCATGCACCTTACCGAGAAGGGGTTAATCCTAATTCCTCAGTTAGAAGTATCCGGTAGTGAAAGTCATGACCGTGTCGACTATGCGATTAAGAAAATTCTAGACACCCTGATAGAAAAAATCATATGTATAACCGAGTGCAAGCAGAATCAAGCAGGAGTTGGTATAGCACAGAATTTAATGCAGTGTGAAAGCTCGGAACAGGTATGATCTTATTTTCGACTGGAACTTTTTATTCCTTATACTAATCATGCCAAATTTTATAGATGAATAGGAGAAAACGAAAAGCTGACGAATCCTTTGGGGATTCTTATTACGATTATCTCTATGGTATCGTGTCCACCGCTTCGGATTGGTATTTTCTGTTATACAGTACTGAAGGAATCTGGTGCACTAGTAAAACAGAATATCACATCTCGCTAACTGAATCCGCTCTAGATGACGATACCGATTTACGCAAGGGGGTTAAAAGGGTGATGGAAGTAATCGTTGGTTTATTAAAGGATAGGGTGTTGATTGATAGTGCATCTGATGTAAAAAGGCGTCGGGTAGAAGAAATCAAAAAATGACGAGACGATAGATCTCCAGATTTACATGTATTTTTTTATATTGTATCAATAAAGATGATCAAGTAGTTCATTTTTATTATAGTAATGATTTTTTTTTTGCCTGCTTGTACGTGTCATTTGGGATCACCACTCTGAGATGTTCAATTTCATTTCGGATATATGCTAATTTTGTCTCAATTCTACCCGATCGTATCTGTTAGATGCATAAACATCCTCGATATGTCTCTTTCCAGCCTCAAAACTCTTGCGTATAATATTCTAAAAGAAATGAGAGACATCGTCCAAGATACAGAAAATCCCGATCCACTTCAATGCTCAATATACAAAGAAAAAATTTTAACACTCACATACGAATCGTTTACTATTCTCGGTGGATGTGGACATATATTTCACAGAATGCGTATCGAGAAAAAAATTCAGTACACAACAACAAGCATATGCCCTTTTACCGGTTGCAGTAGAAGCATCGAGAATATTGATGAAACTCAATGACGGGTCTCTGTATCTTCTGAAATAAGTGGTACTTCGAATCTGGCAGATGAATTTACCCGTAATGTTGGATTTAGTTCTCAAAAAACTTCGTCTCAAGATCAAGATGTGAATATGAATAGAAATGAAGGAATAGGACATAGAGTTGAAATTCCATCCAACCTACCGCAAAAGCGTGTTAACGAAGCTACCCCTATGGCAAGTTTCTCTAATAAAAAGATTAAGGAGCCTGTTAATAGAGAAGAATCGTCGAAACTGAAAAGGTTTATTGATGAATTGTTGTCCAGTAATTCTTTACAAACTGGCAAAGCTATGGAAGAAAGTGCCTCTAGTCACGCTATGACTGCTTCCACCAAAGGAAATGTTAATTATTTTTTATATTTTTTTAGAAAGATCGATCAATCCGAATCTAAATATCAAGTTACTAATAGAGAAGTTAGTAGTCATTTTGACTTTTGAGGAATTTTATATAACCAATATAAGGATTTAAAAAAAGATAATGGCAAGGAAGGAGCGATTGCTCTACTTTTTTGATGAGGTTAGGAAACAAATACCTGTTGAAGTGACTGATGGTGCCTTAAGGAAAAGAACGGAGAGGGCCTGAAAAATCTATAGGATTTTCACTGCTATTGTTAAAGGGGATGAGAAGTTAGCGAAACAAAAAATAGAGTTAATAAGATCATTTTCGGCATATTCCATTTCAAGCTTAAGTAGAGATGATATTGATTTTGTAATTGTCAAATGTTTAAGTGAATTATTGCGCCATATTGCTGCACCCTTGTGACTGCCACGTCGTGGAAAACCGTAATACAGTAAAACCATACTATTTCTTATGAAACGTACAAAGTGAAAATCATGAATCGCATGCACATAATAGTTCTTTATCTACTCCGTGCATCCCATCACAGGTCGTATATTTAAACACCTACCTGATCGTCATTTATCCATCTCCTTCCCACGCTTCTTTTTTCCGTGAAAGTATACACTATCTTCTGAGTAGGACCATCGACTCAAGGATTGTATATTTCTAACGTCTCTTTGAGACATATTTTCCTTGTTTTCATTATGAGGGTATGGATCATTAAATTATTCATGTCGTCATTAGTGAGAAGAGAAATATGGCGTAGTGCTTCTGCGGTTCAGACTACTGAGCTATGAGACATAAAATATTTAGCAGAATTCACATTATAACTTTTTTGATTGTCGAACTATACTACAAGTATCTACCGATTTCTTTACCATTCACTTTTTTCCCCATGCTTCTTACTATTTGTGATAATATAAAAAAACTACAATTGAATAATAAATAGTTTTAAGAAAATATATAGGTTTGGTATATAACAATGTCATCTAGACAAGCCAATCAAGCAAACATCCGCAAAGATACACAAGTCAGACTTGCAGAGAACGATACCCTACCCACATTCTAATGCTATGTTAACTCAATATCAAGAAGAAATTAGAAATCTTGAAAAGAAAGCTAATTATCAATCAGAAATAGATTATATCGACAAGTTAGCTGACTAGTTATCTGGATCAGAAAAGTCATAAGCCAAGAAAATCAGATCCAGTTTCTACTACATTTGATGAATGGGCAGATAAACATTTATAGTTGGAAAAAGAAGATCCGGTTCGATATGTAGATGGTTCAATTACATGGTTCTCAAGATGCATTCCAGAATTAGCACTCCAAAAAAAGTTGTATGATCATGGATATGGCTATTGGAAACTTTCTCCCGATTCAAACAAGCCATATATTTCCTCTGAGTATGTGAAAAAAGTTCAAGGCTTGATGAATAATAATGAGGATTATATTATTGGAATTGTTAAAAGTTGGGAAATAGTTTTATATCATTTGTTGTTAAAGAACTCCTGAAAGCTAAATAAATATAAATTACAGATAAAAAATTTTAATATATGAAAGTATTTTCTATTGTAGCTTTCATAAATGGAAAAAATTAATTAAAACTTTTAATATAAAAAATTTCAATTTATATCAATAAATAAAAAAAAGATATTGTTATTCTATAATATCAATTTCTTTATAAAAGCTTAAAGCAAAATATAATAAACTTAAAAAATTTTTGTAAAGTCCAATTTTATCAATATTATTGCTAGCAAGAAAGAGAAAATATTAAGCTTATATTTAAAAATTTTGTTGAAATTTAATGCAACTCTCAAATAGAATTAATAATATGAAATCTCCAATAAATACATTTCAAAACATATTTATATTAATCTTTATAAAATATACGTATTTTGTTTATAAAGATTCAAAACAAAATATATCTAAAGTTTTACTTTGAATTAAATAATATGAATTTTCAAAACAATTATAACAACATGGCTATATTGAAAATATTAAACCTATCCATTGCTTAACTAGTATTATCTAACTAGTAGTATAGAAATTTGCAAAAAATCTTTATTTATTCACAATAAAATTTATTGAAAAACATTTTACAGAAAAGAAAGATTGGATTTCAATACTTTTTATAAATTATTTGCTTAAAGCTAAATGGCTTATAAATATAATTTCAAAAAAATTATATATAGTATTGATAAAAAATCTTATATTAAATTCTTTTTTTATTGTAATTTAAATTATATTTTTTATAAAATTATATGCTCATAATATATAAATTATATCTGTTTTAATTTATGACAAAAATGTAGCAAATATGATTTATCAATAGTTAGCAAGAAAAAATATTAGTCAAATTGAACAAATAATAAGCATAAAATCTTAATAAAATATAAGAAAAATATAAAATATGCTCAATAATTATATATTTACTTTTTTTTTTTTTTGTAAGTAAATATCATTTCTTTATTTGATTTGTATATAGCAGGGTATACATCGTGAAAGAAACAACATCTCTCATATGTTGGTACAATGAGTTAAATGCTAGCTTGCCTACAGTAACCATATGACTAATATTGAAAATATATTTACTTCTTTATTTTTGTTTATATTAATATTATAGTACTTAAATAGCTAAAATACTTTTTAATAAAAATACATTGTAAATATGTACATATATAATTTAATTTATTTATTTTTTTAGCTTCTAATCAAATAGCAAATAGAAACATTTATTAATTCAATTTGTTTAAAGAACAATAATACAATACATATAATATTATATTAAAGCTAAACTAATACAATTTTATAAAACACTTGTCAATAAATTTAGATCTATATATGATCCTTGAATCCTTAATACCAAGACCACCATGTTGCTCACATGATTTAGTTATTTACTAACTATCTCATTACAAGAGAGTAGGTTCATTAAGTTATCACTGCATAATATTAACTATTTTAGATTTTTTAAATCTAAACTCTTTAGATATAATCATGGGGAATAATAGAAATTGCACCTTTTAAAGACTAGGCATCAAAGAATGTGCTTTGAAAAATTTTAGCTAGCTTACATTCAGACTGTCATCCAACACGAACCTGTTCCTAAGAGATATAAAAAATTTATTTTTTAAAAAAAAAAAGAAAATAAAAAAAAGTTGAAAAGTTTGTTTTAGTAAATAAAAATCCTTCAATATCAATTTTGGTTCATTAGGATAAATCTTTTATTATCACCTGTAGCTGGGCAAACTATTTAATTTTCACTATTCCATTGCTAATCAAAAACATTCAAGGTACTTATAACAAGTCTTATACCTATAAGGAATTATTGCTTGGAACAAGATTTATATCTTATGGAATTATTGCTTGATATCTTCTTGAGAAAATCAACAATAGAAGAAGTTTGTTATTGAATTAGATAAGACTTCTTTTGATATTGAAGAGAAAAGAAATTAGTTCAAGAGAAGGGAGGAAGCACTATAACATATCTTGACAAAAAAGACACCTTGTCATCTTGTTTTTTTCATTATATTTAATGGCATTATCAAATTTATTGTTATATGAGATGAGACACGTAAGAGTTATATGTTTTGTTTACATTTTTTGCTACATGTAGATCAACCAATCCAAATTTCTAATCAATTATCATTCAGGAGTTCTGATGTAATCAAAAATTCAGGGTCAAACTGAGGTAGGCAAAATTTCTTAGAAAAATCAAAAAAAAGTATATACACTTGAAAGGATAGGAGAGAGATTTAAGAAAAATAAAAGAAAAGTTTTAAAAACCTATGCCAATTCTTTTGGAAGTCTTAAATCTTTGGAAAAAAAAGAAGTGTGTTTTTTCTACAGGTTCTTTTTTCTAATAAAATATTCTTGCCTTTGATTTTGTAGCTATTGTTAACCTATTTAATAAATCTTAAAATTAAACAGATCAATAGATAACAGTAGTAGAAAACCACTTAATTTAGAGGAAAATAGTCTCAATTTTGATATACTAGTATTGGTAAGGTAAAAGAATTGGACAAGATTTATTTCCAAAGCAAGAAGCATGATGATTTGGTTATAAGTTCAAGATGGTTTTTATTAGAGAAAGTTGTGAAGAGTTGGGAAATTTCTTGGACAGTTGAGAAGAACAGCTGTTCTATTTATACATGTTTGAAATATATAAAACTAAAATGTAAATAAGTGATGATATATACAGTATAAGTTTAGTCAGATATCCTTAAAATCCTTGATCATATCACTTAAATTATTTAGTCAGATATGCTTAATATCCCTAATCATATCACTTAAATTATTTAGACTGTTCTGTTCAATCAGATCAATCAGATTGGTCAGGTCAATTAGACTGATTAGTCATATCTGACAGAAATGTCATATCTACTCACTATACTATATATGTTATATAATTAATAATAGAAATAATAAATAATATAATACTATAAAATAATAATCTAAAAATAGTACTATTAATACTTATAACAATATATAACTTTATTGTAGCAATATTTCCTGTGCTATTTTTTTCAAAATTTTCAAAAAATTCTACTTAAAAAACTGAAATCAGTTTATCCCCTCCAAATAATTATTGCTCTCCAATTATTTAATCAGATTTCATTAAAACAATAAAACAAAAATTAACCAATTTAAACTAGTTTTTCGGTATAACAACAACAACAATAGCAATAACAATAACTCTAAACAATATTAACTACACTATAATTTATTTGTCACCAAAGCACATGTAAACAATAAAGGAATTTAGTAAACTCCAATTTCTATAATTGGACAAAAGATTTCTCTAAATACATAAACTTTACTATCAAAAATCTTATTGTTTATTTAATTTGGTTCAGCCTAGTTATTTCATCATTATACATATTTTCATTTTTCTTATATTCAAAAAATCAAAAGATTTTACAAAACTTCTAAGTTAATAAGCATAGTCACTACTCAGCTTTATCTAGCACTATAATATTGCTTTTGAAATTTTTTATAATATTAGTTAGATAATATTAAGTAGGTAAACTAGTATTTAACTTTTTTGAAATAATGAAAGAAATATTGTTTCTTTTATAATGTATACCTTGTTATATACAATATCAAAATAAAAAAATGATATTTACCTATAGGAGAAATCACTCAAAAAAATATATTTTAAATAGTATATATTAAATAAAAAATTGATATTTGTTTAAAATAATAATAATAATAATAATAATAAATCTTTTTTTCAAATATTACATATAAAAAAAAAAACTATCAAATAAGAAAATACAAAATTTTCTTTTCAAAAAAAAATAGCAAAGGACTCTGAAGAATTGTTTATATCCTTTAAGGGCTAACCCACTGAACCTACATATATACTGCTTAATGTTTTTATTACCAATATTAAAAAATATCATGCTATAGTTATTCATAAAAAAAACAATATCAATATAATTTATACTACTATTTCAACTATATACACTTGTTTATCAAAATTTGAAAACCTATTCAAAGCCTGGCTCATACCAGTCCATTCTTAAGAAGATAAATATAAATGCCTGAAAGTTATCTCAATTTTCTTTAAAGTTTGCAAAAAGAGACATAATAATTATTATACAGAATTAAAATCATTCTTTTTCAATCTTATGTTACTGGAAGCTATCAACTTCTTTTTTGAATATCAATATATTTTCAAACTATTGGATATAGACAGAAAAAGCATTATGAAAGAACTTCTCAAACTAAATTTTACCTATGGCTTACATGTTTCTTGAAATAAAATTGATATTAACATCAATGAACAAGAAAATATTTTTATCTTGAAGAAAAAAACTGAAATCCCATATCCCTCCAAACACTCCTGCACCAATTGAGGAAATAATTGTTAACAATAGTATACAACTTGATTCTTTTAATGAAATATCTTATGCAACTACTCCTGAGTATAACAATGGCCAACCTAACATATATACAATACTTCCTAAAAATATGAACAATCACTTTAGTCTACATGTATCTAACTAAGGATGAGTTCCTAAATTATTTAGTATATAAAATTTTGCAGATCAATTATGTCCCTTTTGAAGGGATATAATTATTTATTCATTACTTTAATAGAAACATAATTCAAAAAACACTTGGATTAAGTAACCTAAATTGTAAAAAACCTTTATAGGTGGTTTTTTTTTGATCTTATAATTAAAAAAAAACTTTTTTAATGATGAGGAACATTTGAATTATGTTCTTGTCTTTAATTTAGGAACCCATCTTTACATTCAACATTATACACTTATTAAACAATTCCAACATAATATCACATATATCTCTGAACTCAAATACTCCAATCAATCCTAACCCCAATATGGAAATTGATAATTACTTCTCCTCTATCCAATCAGTAGAAGCTCTGAAATTCCTCTCCAACTCTTGGATAGATAAAACTAATAAAATATTAGAATCAATATAAATTAACTTATCTATTAATACAAACAATATCCGAGACAATATACTTTTTAATGAATATA